GCGGCCAAAACCTCGGAATGATGGACAAGTCCTGGGCGCCAAAGTATTCCTGAGCATGTGCCACCACAGGATCCTCCACACCTGCAGGCCCATGCGCACACAGAGTTGGATACCTTACCAGTTGCCAGAATTAAGGATGAGGTAGCGGCAGTAAAATCCCTGATCATCAGATCATTTGCGCCTCTGGCAGAGAGAAGTGGGATTCGGTGTTTCTGCTGGACCTTCAAAATGCACTGATGGAGCAAGTCATGTTTGTCTTTTGACCGTTCTTGAATCATTCTGTAGCCATACAAAGCAGCATGACCCCAGATGGGATCGCTGCAAACCTCTTTCAATTGCACTTTGAAGCGAACTAATGGGTTGTCGTAGTAGGCATTGAAGTTCTCCTTTGTTGTCAACCGAGCATCGCGCTCAAGTACAATCTCACAAACTGCAGCCAAGGTCATGGTGATGGAGGGCGCAGGCAACGAGAAGGAGACCTCAGGGGTCAACACCAGCAAGCGCAGTTGTTTTTGTACTCTTGGTCAAGAGCTGGATCGAAGACGATCACCTGAAATGGCCCTGAAAGGCCACCCAATTTGACCAACGGATCCAAGGGGTCAATCGTTGGAAGTAGGACAGCGCACGGTTCTTTGGGCTTCAAGTCTCGAATGCTCTGCAAAGATCCTTTCGAAGTGAAGGCAATTCCACCCTTGATAGCTGACAATTGCTGCTTCTGCACAAAGGCAGGGGTGATTTGGACTTGTCAACAAAGGGGTGATCAGATTGCAGTTGAAGGTCTTCCCATTTGCTTTGTCTCACAGCTTTCTTGGAACTTTTCCACGGGTCATCGATTTGCCAAGGATCTTGCGGCATCATCGGTTGTTCTTCTTTATCATCACCATTCATACCTCCCAAGGACACTTCAGGCATAGGCTGGATGGAATGGACACCCCCAACCAGCAAGAAGAGTCTGCGCATGTTGGCAGCAAAAGGCTCCTGCAAGCCGCCATGCTTGATTGGATTCCTGAATGATGTCCTCAATGATTTGATTTCGCAAAGGAGGAATTTGAAAATCAGTCGGCAAGTGAAGATCAGCATGAATCCATCGACGGAGTAATTCCCAACCACACATGCCCGGCCGGGTTCGATTGGTGTCGATGATGATGACAGGTCAAAATCCAGGAGGGACAATCGCGTCCAGAATTGTTGGTCTCGTTGGGGTACTTGCAGGACAACGACCCGGCAGGTCATCAGGGTTGCATTGCAAATCACTTCAATCCCGATCCAGTGTCCTTCACGCAGAGCAACAAAGTTTTGCATCTCATCGAAATTAGGCTTGACACAGGCGGAGATGAGAGTCAGATCACCAAGAAGAATGGGAGGATTGAAGGCGACAGGCAAAAAATACAGCAAAGCAAACTCAATCTCATCACTTGCAGCCCATCCAGGAAACTCATTGTACATGGTGGCTCGCTGAGTGAGCCATCGATCAGCTAGGCTGGTGATGCGGTGGATGGTGTAGACCGAGTCAATGCGGCCCATGAATCTTTCTCGAAGCTCATCAACTTAGTGAAAATGCTCCTCAAGAAGATGTGCTTCAACAGAGGTTGGTGCAGGGTACTGAATACCTGCCGAAACTCTACGCCTCGTATACTGCTCAGCACCTTCTACAGCAGACTCATGTTGAGACCAAAGAAATCTTTGCTTCAATACACTTTGAGCAGGGACATTTCCATTTTCTGGGCCCTTTCCTCTTTGCCACCCTCTTCGGCACTACAGCAACGCTGGTCCTCCCAAGTGATCTGCGGACTGCCTGTCATCAGTTGGGCAACGCGATATCCCAACTGCATGGTTTGGTGGCTACATTGTTTGCACTTGAGGGAGTCTCTGGAGAATCCTTTCCTAAGCTGGCTCTTGTTCGACAATGTTGGGATGAGAGACTTACATCCAGCAATGCAATTGTGAGACACTGTGACGATACTTCTGTGTTGCAACCTATTGCTGATTTTGCTAGCTAGGCCATCCCAAGCATTGCTACGTGCCAGCCATGGTTGGTGGGAGACAAACTCATCAGGTTCAATGACGATGGAACACTCATTCCGGTCAATCGCATTGCTGCTGAACCGGTACTGACACGACTTTTAGCTGCTCTTGAATTACAATCGCATCTTCGAGGACAATTCCATTTACAGCAAGAAGACCGAGCTCCGCCGCATCTCACAACCTGGCAAGACGTCCAAGCTGGCCCAGTTGATGTCAAGATTGGGAGCACCTCACTCTGCACTCTTCAGATTGTCCGAACTTCCATAGACCGGGATGGTTTTGATCCCATCGTCTCCCCAACGCAGCCATGGGATGATCTTGGAGATGATCCTGATTTGGACAGACTAGTTGAGGCGCAAGCCAATGAGCCGCTTCATGTCATTGAGCATGTTTGGCATGATGGAGGTGTTCTCGGACGTGTCAAAGTCCTTTTGCTTCAGCAAGATTGTACCTATGAGTGGATTGAGAATGCCAATGTTGAACGCTTGGGAAACATTCCCTTCCTTCATGCCAATGGTCAGCATCGCCATTTCTTTTGTGTCCACGAGGCTGCATGTCAATCATTGTTGGGAACATGCGTTGTCATTGCGATTCAAGGGAGGTATGATCCAGTTGATCAAAACAGATGGGTCCTTCTTGCTGGTGGGATTGATACGAAATGGTGCAAAATTTGTCAACTGCCAAGAACTGTTACTCCTCAACAGTGCCATCAGATCTTTGATCAACAGTGTCGTATTATTCAGAGGAATCTCATGCCTTGTGCTTCCGACCAACCTTTGATGTTGATCAATGGTGACCTACTATGGTGTGACAGTCGCCTCACTTCCTCTGCCAATGTCGCCTTTGGTGGAATGGACCTTTTGGATGAGGCACCAAGCTGCAATGTTGATCAAGATGCTACTCTGGCAAGGCTCCTCAATTTCAACCTTGACCCGGCAGCATTGGCAGCTGATGAACTCGTTTTCCACTTTGACATCTTGCAAATGCTTATGCCCTCAATTTGCTGGTGCCCACCTGGCAGGTGGATGAACTGTGACTGGCAATTTCGCTTTCCGCATGAACCGATGGATTTGCAAGTCTGCTATGGACATTTCATCGTTCCCATTCTTGCTGACAGGGATTGGATCTTTCCTGAGGTCAGGATCGTGGATGAGTTGTGGCGCATCCTTTTTCACTCTCCCGAGCCTCTCACGGCGCTGCAGCGAACTGGGCTTATTGAACTGACTGAAGTTATGGGAATCGAAATTCTGCCGGGAAATGTAAGGTGGCTGAGAACTGTTGAAAACCCTGAGCTCTCTGCATGGTACACGTTGAGGACTTTCTATGCTCGTTCAGGCGCTCCATTGTTGCAAACCTCTGTCAGGACTTCCATGAGACTGCAGCGCAGCTTTCATCAGTTGCAAATTCTGCAAATCTTGGACCAAGCAGATCGAATATGGAGAGCCGCACAGACTGATGATCGCACTATGCAGTTTGGTCTGGCTTGCAGATCTATTTTCTTGCTTGCACTGGCTGAATCTCTTCGAAGGATTCACGCCCACTTGGCAGGAGGAAGGAGCAATCTGTCACCATAGACATTAAGCTGCTGTTCATCTAATTGGAGGTGTCTAACCAGCTCAAACGGGAGCGCAAACTGGTGTTTGGAGTCATTCCATGGTGTTCGATGCAATGCAGCACACAGGATTCTCTCTCTCGATTTCTCTCCATAAATGTCCAATCGAAGCCACACTGCAAGCCACCTAGTGCGGTGGTTACCTGTAAGCTGGTGAAGGGCGACATCTTGGGACCAGAAGCATCGATAGCCAGCCAACTGCAAGCCGGCTGAGAGAGCTCGCCAGTGGGAATGTGCCTCAATATCGTCTGAACATTCAAAAAGAGCAGCAATTGGACAAGTCTTGCACAGGTGCAGGATGCCATCCAGAAAGCAATACCCTTCATCTGAAGCCAGTCCTGAATTCTTTCCTCCTCGGCTCCAGCTTGGGCATGGAGGTGAGCATGTCGTCAACAGGTTGGACACATTGGAAGTCACCCGAGGGAGGAACTTGTCACCCACATCAGCCAAGACACCAATGTAGGCTTTCTTGAAGTCAAAGTCAACTGGAATGGGGCTTTGAATGTAATCCATCTGATGATTACACTTCCAGGTGTTCATCACTTGTACGTTCCAGTCTACGGAGACATGGGTTGCAAATGAACGGCTTTGATTGGACCCTTGTAGCCAAAACATTGCTCGAAGCCAACCCTCATATGCTCCTGAGAAGAGGTGCGCTACATTCCATGGCATGTCTTTGTGATATTGTGGAAGATTCCACAATGGCACAGTCTGATCAACTCGAATTTTGCCATTCGATGTATGATGAAGAGCATCGACATGCACACCAATCCAGGCGCCAACAGCCAAATCAACTTTAGTATGCACCACGTCACAGACGAGCTCAAAGGTCGACCACTCATCCCCAATGTCAACTTTGTCCAACAACATGTTTGTACGATGAACCATGACAGTTCGAGGAGAGTCATGTAGCTCTTCACCCACAGCACCAAACAAGGTCCAGTCGCTAGAGCCATCAAGGCATTCACCAGTGGCCGCAATGGCCTGAAGCGCTTGACGAACCGTCACACCAAGCGTGTCAGCCATTCCCATCGTCGCCCAGTCTATGAAACCAGCCTTCGACCTCGACCCACCAAAGCTCTTCGTATCCATCTTCTCCATGGCACTGCCAGGACCGATGAGGTCCTCGCTCTGTGGACGCACCACCCCTGCCAAGTTGGCAGGTAGCGATGCCCCGGCGCGTGCCCACGCGTAAGCTGTATGGCTTTGGGCCAGAGCAGCTGGGGGGGGAGCCTGTTTGAAGAAGCGCTTGCACTAATGACTTGTTTCCTAGATTCTTAGGGAAACTTAAGGTCTGAATATGTGTGCGTGAGTCTTGATCCTTTTCCATCCTGTTCTCTTTCTCTCCTTCACCCGGTTTAGGCTAAGAGGCAATGTAGGTGCAAGTCTCGTCACGGTAGACGCCCAGCAGCTCACATGCCCAGTGATATCCAACCTGAGGGAGCTTGGAAAGGAGGAGGACTTGGGCGGAGGACTGAGAGGACTTGCTCTGCAGAATCTGACAGCTGGTGTCGAAGCGAAGACGAAAAAAACAATGTTTCGACACCAAAAACAGTAAGCAAGAGATACAAATGAATACCACTTGAGCTGGCTCTGGATAGCCCCAGTCTCCCAAAACTGTTGTCAAACCCCTCAAGCCGGCCACGCCTGATTCAGAAATGCTGAATACGCCACATCCATCCAGGGCCTTCGACCAAGCAAAAGAATCGAACCCTTCGGAAATCCAACTCCAGAAGTCCAATCCTTTTGGACCTGAGGCCTTCCAAATGCATGAGGTTTACCACAAAAGAAACTCTTCCAGAGCAGCTGAAGCACATCTCCGTCTCAAATGGATAAGTGCTCTTGAACTCACCTTGGGCGGCTTGACACAAAGCTTCAAATGACCATCGTTCCCCAACTCCCCCACGAATCTTTCCTTGAGAGCACGTGGAATATACAAGAGAAAAACGACAACTTTAAGCATTCTTGTTCCATGTAGCAATGCCAGGAGCTAAGGAGCTACTAGTAGCTTCCTGTTCCTACTGTAGTAGCGATACCCTTTGTTACTAGTAGCATTCTTGCTAAGGGGTGGCTATGGTATGTCCTTCTGACTCAAATATGGTTTTGACAAGTCTTGATTGACTCATCCCAGAAGTCCACTCTGGCTGAGCAAACAAGCTGAGCGGCTCTGGTTGTGCAGCATCCACCAGGTCGGAACCTGCCGTCGATGGAGGCGATTTGATCGGGATGAAGCGCAAAAGGAACCTCTTTAGATGCTGTAGCTCGCATAAAGTTAAGCACACATGTCAGCCGTCTTGGATACAAATATCAAAAACAATGCTGTAACCTGTAACCCACTATTCAATCAATTCAACCGGACTCATCAAGGAATCTGATGCAAAAGGATGATGGTGCTTCTCCAACTTCTTGGCAGCGGTGCCTGCTTCACCGCTACGAGCATGGCAGCTGCTGTGTCTTTCATCAGTAGCACACGCCCCTTATTGCGTGGTGCATCTTCCAACTTCCTGCCAAACAGTGGTTACTCTCCTCTCCGCCTTTCACCACTGCAAAGGCCTTGGAATCTATCACCAAACTAAACAGAACTTGCAACATCTGCTGAACTTGAACAGCCCAACTGATGCCGACTCGTTATGAGTCGTTGAATTAAGACAAACGACCAATAGGCCCCACTCCTGACCATCTGGAAACGCAAGGGGTTCCATGGGGACCACTCATCCGCCGCCTTGAAAAGCGAAGTCGGCCCAAGTGGTTCTACTAGTAGCTCCTGGCCTTACTAGGAACAAGAAGCCACTAGTAACAAATGCATCGCTACTAGGAACAAGTGCATCGCTATTAGAACGTAGCTAATTTGCTGCTAGTAACAAGGGCATCGCTACTAGTATGAACGGTTCCGTCGGATCGTGCGAAACGCTGCCAAGTGGCCAGGCCATGTGGCATGTCTGCCAAAGCGAGGCAGGACTCTTGAAAAATTACACAGGCGATTGGCACTCAGTGCGCCGGCTGGAGTGGCAAAGACACCTTGCCAACCACCTGTCCGCCCTCCGTTTCCAGACCTATTGAGTCTGTTGACTCTGTCGTTTTCGTGGCTGCACGCCAAGTCCTCAAGCAAACAGCGTTTGGTGGACAAATAGGAGTTCTGAGGACACAAGACCTCGGACTGGCAACAGCCAATGGGCAGTCACACGGCTTTCTGACTCCAAATGACTCGACAGAAATTGTCTCAAGTGCTTGCGCGTAGGTGCTGTCAGAGGGAGCCGAATATGTGTCTGCCCAATTAAATGCTCCAAAAATAATGAAACGGAACTGAGCCAAAACGGATGCAAGCGGTCAGCGTCACCAAGGAAGCTGCAAATCCTCTCGTCGAAACTGTCAGCAAACTGCTTCTCTTTAGAACTGTGAAGTTTGTCTGTCGAGACTTGGCAAATGGAACACGATCAGGCTCGCAATTGTTGATCTCCGAATGCCGAGTTCGGAGCACCGTGTAGGAGCACCAAGTTCGGATAAATCATGGCGAGCTTTCAAGGAATCGAGAGGTAGCAAAAATTCGAGAGGTTGATAGCAACAGCCAGTTGGCAACATCCGTTGTTATAAAGTTGCCAGCTCGAGAGTGCCCCAACAGGCTGAGAAAAAGCACGTTGACTGTGCAAAAAGCACGTCATACGCGAGATGAGAATGCGAGACGACAATACTTTGGGATGCCGCACGAGAATCTGCAGGCAAATCTTGCACAGCCCTTGCGGCATCCTCGACATGCGGAGGAAGAGTGTGCCCTATAGTGTTCACACCAGCAAACGTCAATCGAAGGCACCAACATGCCTTGTGCCAAGGTCTGGAACGTGCATATTTCATGTTTTAACATGCAATCCCCCAAAATAACAGCTCTCATCTAAGTCTACTTCAATCAAACCAGTATATAGAGCACCAATAAATAGTATAGTTGGCTTGGCATTGAGTTGGCGCGACTCCACTTTCATGTCCTGTGCGTCCGGTTGATTGGATTGTCATGATTGCATTGTATTGCATTGCATTGGATTGGATTGGACGCGATTTTGTTGGATTTGGGTAAGTTGAATTTGATTGGGTGTGCTTTGACTGAAATATGACTTGATTGAAATGAGATAGTTGAATTCAGGTTTGATTGGGAAATATTTAATTTAAAACAAACAAATATGTGCATTGATTTGCTTTTGGCACAAGTCTTTGTCTTAACTGTCCAGTTGTTACAGTTGTTTGCTTTTCTATGTTCAATGGACATTTGGCTTGCAAAGCCACACACAGCTGTATGTTTCCTTCGTTCCGCTTCGACAAAGCTTAGACTGATGAATATTTGGACAGCCTTGGTATTGATTCTGGACTGTCTTGATTGAATTGGATCGGCTTAATTGGCTTGGATTGCAAATGGGTTTGTTTGGATTGTGTTTGATTGGATTTGACTGGCTTGGAGTCTTGGAGTTGGATAGATTTGATTGAATGTTGAATGACCCACATCAAATCCAACCCATCCGAATCAACACTTGAACAGACAAACCGGAGCCAGTGAGGGGTCTAACAAAGATTTACCAAAACCCCTTCAAATACAAACAAAAGTTCGCACTGTTAGCTAAAGTTAGCAAAAACGTTGTAACATGTGGCAGCTTAGCAGGGGTTAACTTGTACCTTAGCAAAACTCGGCTAACTGCTGGCTAAGGAGGCTGTGACGTTGCTAAGTGCCACCTAAACTTGACGAAACCTAGCCAGACTTACGACGTGGCTTACTTGCTGATCGTTAAAGGTGTGGTTGTAAACCCACCTAGCCATCCAAATATCAAGTTCGGTAAACCCAGCTGGAAAGGTTTCCGTCCTGAAGGCCAGGGATGAGCTTGCCCTGCTCAAAACGGGCAAGGGCTCGGCGATATCGAGCCTGGCCACTCAAATAAAACAACCTCCAAGCTAATAACATATGCTGCCTAGTTCTTGCATGCGGATGCTTCAACTTTCACTGTCTAGCTTTTGTCTGCCTCCGGGAAAAAATATCTCTGCATGTACAAGGAATTTGTCTCCGAGACGAGTGGACTAATAGGAATGTTTTTTTGTCTACTACCATCTGCAAAAGGAAACAGGATGTAGATTCTACAGTAGATCATAATTCAGTGCCTTAATTGCTTGCCATTCACGTGACCGCACGTGAATGACTGCTGCACTACGCTGCATCCCACCTTCCCATTTGTGGGTTTCTCTTCCAAGGCTGCGCTGCAGTCTTGTTCCTTGAAGCCAAACGCAGGCTGAGCAGCCGCTGGCACAGGCACCCGGCCCTTCAACCAATCACACTACTTCACTAGAACAGTTGGCCACAGCTACTAGGGGCTCCAAATCAATTTCCATCTTTCAGCCTCAAAATTTGCACTTCCATTCTTTTGGCACCGATTCCCGCCAGCTGGGCTCCACTGGCTGCATCTTGAAAGCGTTGGAGCTTCAAGCGGCAAAGAGCCTCAGCGAAATAGGCCATGAACTCTTTAAACCTTGTTCCACTGTGTTCTGTGCAGTCTGATGTTCATGTTTAAAAAAATGATCCAACATGTAGAAAGTTCATCAAAGTGCATGCGTCCTACAAAACTGTTTCTGTGCCTAATCTTCTCTGTTCTTTCGTAGCGTCACAGGTGCCATTTCAGCACCCTTGTACAGCCACTCGGCCACGCAAACTGCCTTCAGTCCACACCAAGTGCACAGCTCGATTGGTTTGCAGGGCGCAGCGGAGATCGCCTCGAGGACACACAGACCACAAGCAAAAAAGAAAGTGATGTGATACATCTCATACATATATACGTACATACATAGCATATCTAGAAGTGCAAACATGTGTGTGTGTGTGTCAAAGCCTGTTTCTAAGGCTGCACACATTGTCAAGTTTTAAAAAACCAATTGTAACAGCAGGGCGCGTTGCAGGTTCTTTCGGAAAAAAAAGGCCGGGGGGCAACGGCCAGTCTTCTTACGTTGCCCAACGAAGCAATAGAAGACTGGTGGAAGCATTCAGGGACGCCTGAATGTGTACCTGCCACATTTTAAAGATGTTGAACCACTTCCAAGCTGTCCACTACAGTGTTTTGCAGTATGCGGCTAACGCGTTGCAACACATTGTTCAAACTCCTACAAGTCAGCCGACTCAGCCGCCTTTCCATTATTGCACCATTCGGTTCTCTCAAGTCAAGTGCTAATGCGTGTAAAGTGGGACTTCAACAACTGATTCAGCTCTTGCGAGCATCCATCTAAGTGTGTGCCGCCACAGAGTCCCACTGCGGGCTGTGGTGTGATCACCACCGAGGGGCGCAGCATGTGCATAGACCCAGATCGTGGGGGACTCCTACTGACTTCTCCTGTCTTCTCTCGTGGACTTCTCTCGGAATCTCACTAGCTCACGGTTTTGCACGAGACTGCTGATTGAATGCCGCAGGGCTCACTGCGATCGACTTCCAGGACAGATTCTCACATGCATGTCACGCTGCTACGTAGTCATAGGCCTTGTGAGGAGAGTGAAACCACGTGCGAGGTTTTTCTCTTTTGGTCCTTTTGTTTTTTCTTTCTTGCTGTTGCTTTTCGTTTGTTTGAGGGCTTTCTTTAGGTCCTACGTGCGCCGATTACGGCTTTACTTGAGTGCCGGTGAAGGCAACCCCCTCCCTCCTTGCACCTAATCTGTTGCTATCCCACTCGCTATCTGGGATACAGAAGGAAATCGCACTCAACACACTTGTGTGTTGGTGCCTTTCCTTCTGTTTCTCCTGTCCTACTCCTAGCTACCCGGGCAGTCTAAGACTAAAGTCCCGCTCGCTAACTATTTAATTCATGTAACTAGAAGGCTTCATAACTAGTGGGCCTCGTCACTACACCTATCTTTCTCTCTTCCCCTCTTCGTTTGCTCTTTTTTGTTTTCTTTGTCTTTCTTTCTAAGGCTTGTTAGGTGGCTAGTGCCTCACTTGAGCGCCGATATCGGCGTGGTGTGTGTGTGTGTGTCAAAGCCTGTTTCTAAGGCTGCACACATTGCATGTTCTTTCAGAAAAAAGAGGCAGGGGGGCAACGGCCAGTCTTCTTACGTTGCCCAACGAAGCTATAGAAGACTGGTGGAAGCATTCAGGGACGCCTGAATGTGTACCCGCCACATTTTAAAGATGTTGAACCACTTCCAAGCTGTCCACTACAGTGTTTTGCAGTATGCGGCTAACGCGTTGCAACACATTGTTCAAACTCCTACAAGTCAGCCGACTCAGCCGCCTTTCCATTATTGCACCATTCGGTTCTCTCAAGTCAAGTGCTAATGCGTGTAAAGTGGGACTTCAACAACTGATTCAGCTCTTGCGAGCATCCATCTAAGTGTGCATATGTATATGTCTAATATATATACAAAAAAATATATGTAGTGTTGAATCACTTCACTTCACGTCCATTTGGCCTGAAGTTCTCACACTCAAGTGACAGTTCTCACACTCAGGTGTCAGTGAATACCCATGACCAGCGATTGCGGATTGTTCAAGGCATCCTCGTACCCAAGAGGAGGTGTCTCATTTTGGATTGCCCTCTTCCATCACCCGATTGGCCCTTGGACCTTTTCGCTGATACGAAGCTTCACATGTTTGGTCTCGGCGTTCTGTGTGGCATTTTGCTTGGTGCGCTGGACTTGCTCTGGATCCCTCCGCGAGCGGTGAAGGAGGC